TATTGATGATTCCGCAGCCCACACCTCCTGATGACCTCTCCCAGCGGTTTCATATAGATGTTGAATAGCAGAGGGGATAGAATGGAGCCCTGTGGTACTCCATGGCATAGCTGCCATGACGTAGAGACATGGTCCCCCAGCACCACCTTCTGGAATCGACCGTTGAGATAGGAGTGGAACCACTGCAGAGCAGTGCCTCCAACCCCCAATCCCGCAAGTCTATCCAGAAGGATACCATGGTCGATGGTATCGAAAGCCGCCGAGAGGTCCAGAAGAACCAACAGGGATATACTCCCCCTGTCCTTCTCCCTGCACAGGTCATCGTACAGGGCAACCAAGGCAGATTCAGTACTGTACCCGGGTCTGAAGCCGGACTGAAAAGGATCCAGATACGCCTGGTACCTGTTCTTCTATTCCAGATGAGCAGCCACATCAGAAGCACTATCAAACCCCAGATGAATCCCCATACACAGAAGCTGTGCTTTGCTTGATGGAATATGTGTCATGTGGGCCCGGCTTATTACAAGCTATATTTTAGATGCTGATGTCAGGACAATGGTTCCTTCTCGCTGATCCTTCCCTTGCTTCTCTCTCTGATCCTGAAGGTCTTTCTCAGTAAAGGAGAAAGAGCCAGCATGCAGGGAAACAAAAGGGACATTAGTGAATCCCATATAGTCCTGTGAGTGCAGCCAAACTGCCTAGACTCATTCTACTTCCATCTGCAACAAATGAGCAAACATCGAGGGATTCTTGTTCCAAGCAGATTTTTCTTTTTAGCTTTAGAATAGAAAATGCCTATTTTTCAATCTTCTGAAAATATTGTGCAGGTACTCTAGAATTATAATTTAATTCTAGCCAATAGGAAATATATTAAATACCTTTTATTTTTCTTCCTGATGTATTGAAGTAGCCTAACTTCATAGGTATAACGGATACCCCTTTTCTTATCTTCTTTCTCCCCAAATGAGATTTTGGCTTCCCCCGCCTCACCCCACCCTTTGGCCTGTTGTTGCCTTGAAGACACTTCCTAATTATTTCTACTTAATTTAAGGTTAAAGTAAGAAAAGATGTAGCTACACAAAGCTCTAACTAAAACATTGAGTTACATAAACTTACAACATGAAGTTTCCTTAATATAATTGCAGTACTAAAATACTTATATGGTGATTCTGTGATAGCAAAATTAGTAAAGTTATTTCATCACTGCTATGATTATTGAATTCAGATTTCAAGGATTCCAAAACTCAATGCCAGTAGTCCTTTCATCATCCGGTCCACATGTTAATCACTTTCATTTTTCAACAATTTGTTACACATTACTTGATGACTAGGAAGAACAGAATGTCTAGTGCTGTAATGAGAAGAAAATTGGAAAGCACCCACTCTCTGTTTAAAGCTAGGAATGGGGGAAAATTAATTTGCTTTGCAGTTCGATATAAACTGACCTAATTTGCACATCTCACAATAATATTTGGATCATAATACAAATCATATTAGTTTGGGAGTTATTATCTTTTGATATTTGCTTTTTCTGATTTTGCAATGCATTTGTCAGATCAAAACGTGTATACAAACTGCATACCTTTGGAAAATTGCATTAAAATACATCAGTTAGATAAAATAGCTTCTGGTTAGTTGCAATTGCTTGTAAAAAAACCATGTTTGTTATGGAAATGTATAAACACTTTCAACTTAAAACACAAACAATGCAAACTGTTGCAGAAAGGATATGGAATGCTGTTGTTTCTGAAAAGTTACAAAACTGTAGTTTGTTAAAAGTTAAATTTCATCCTATCTTGTTTCAAAAACTAACTTATGCTATCCAGAGTTCCTTCCTCTTGGTCACAAATGTCAGAGAGTTTAAAATCGTGATGGACTAATTTGTCTGTGTTGCTTTCCATAACGATAACAATTTTTCAGGAACAAATTCAGTTGGTCTGCTTTTGCAGAGAACCATTTGCAAAAGAAGCAACTCTTCTGTTCCAAGCCTCTGTTTGCTCATGTAATGTTAAAGTTGTTCAGCAGTATTCCAAAGGAGGTCAAACTCTATTTTTATTAACTTGATTGAAAAATATTGCATTTGAAGAAGTGTTGGGGGATGCGTATTGTGTGGTGGCTCATCCCATACATGGCTGCAGTGCTGGTTGCAGAAGGTGCGTGTGTCTACTTGCTTAATGCAAGAGCATAGGAACTGTACTGGATCAGACAAAGGCTCCCTCTCCTCTGGCATTCTGTGGTCAAACAGCTGCTTGTGGAAAACACACAGGGAGGACTTGGGTGCCATAGCACTCTCCTACCAGTATTCCAAAGCAACTGCTATACTGATGCATACCGAACGGAGGAACCAACTATCAGGATTGGTAGCTATTGATCACCAGCAGAACCTTATATTCATAGAAACATAGAAACTGAGGGAGTCAGAAGGGGTCTCCTGGGCCATCTAGTCTGACCCCCGGCTCCAGCCAGCTTCACTCATGACACACCTACCCTGTACTTCTCCAGCCTAGACTTGAGCACCCTCACCGATAGGCTTCAACCACCTCCCATGGAAGCTCATTCCATACCCTCAGGGTCCTAACTATCAAGTCCTTCCTGGCATTTAACTTGAACCTTGGTTCCCTGAGTTTTGCTCCATTAGAATGTGCCCTGCCCTGCTCTGTAGGGGAAAGCAGACCATATTCAACCAACTCTGTTTTTTAATCATGGATATCTGCCATTACCCTAATTTTCCACCAACATATTTTGAATTTATAAAGTATTGAATTTATAAAGTACTAATTTATAAAGAATTTATAAAGTGCAAACTCAGGATGTAGGAAAATGTGAGCTCTTAACCTGTGCTAAACAATCCTGCTGTGTGTGAACATTGGCAGTACCTTGCCAGATGAGAGCACCATTCATTTAGCCCAGCATTCTTTCCAAGAATCCCAGCCAGTCATCCATTATTATGTTATTGTCTACCTTTTGCCCACCCGTTCTGTAGTTTTTTACCGAGCACTTCCAGTTATATTTGGCAAGTGATAAGGCCTGCAAGTTCATCCCTTCATTTTGAGTGAATTTTATAGGCTGACAGCCTCATTAGTGGCTTCATTAGAATTAGCATGTCACACTTATAAATGCAATTACTTTCTGAGCTAGATAGTTTAGAAGAGATTTAATATACCAAAGTATTGCTTTAATAATTTAGATAGAGCAAATGACAGAACCAATAGTTCGAAAGCCTTTGTGTTATTATTGGATAAAAGATTTGGGTATTTATGACCTCACTGTTCCTTTTCCCACCTTAATTATATAAGGCTTTTAAAAATATGTATAATATTCTTCGATTTGTAGTCCATACAAAAAATGTACTATCATTTTTCTTCAGCTTCATAAATACTATAATTTTATACCTCTACTTTTTGTATTATTCTTTAAAAATGCTGCCATCAAGTGGCAATTTCTATGTATAAGACTTAAGTTTGTGTCTAATATTTTCTTCTGGTTTTACAAGTTCAATTCTTATAAATATCTGTATGAAACAATATTCTGCAGTTATGCACCCCAGACCCTGCTTCTTCATTTGCTTCTGCTTGTGAGGAATTTATTTCCAAGCTATAGAAATATGAGAACTACTTCTGGAATAAAGGAAAAGTACAGATACTTTAGGACCAAAATAAGCCTGCAAAACTGTACAAACTGATTTCCAACTGGAAAATAAAACCCAACTTTACAAAATATAGATGGATTAAATCTATAAACTTGTGCTGTATTTTCTGAATGCTTCTAAATGCTGACCTGTAATCAATGTGAGAATATTTCCATATATTTCATATAGTGTTGTATTCTTTTGTGCTTACACGTTGGACTTCCTACATTCATTTTCCCAAATCAATATTACTTTGATAGAAAGCAATTCAGGATCTTTCCAAAAGGGTTATGTTATTATGGAATACATATGCAAGATACTGACCTGGATTCCTGATAGTCTTCCCACAACTAGCTTGCCTGTTGTTGAGAAACAGTAAGGTCCTGGGGTGCACAACTTTCAGTCTACTTTCCTGTACCAGCCTTGCATGGTGATTCACTATAGGCAATGTCTTTTGCTTGGGTGCCTAGGACTGAAAAAAAAAGTTCATACATGTTTTTCCTGCAGCACATGGCAGGCAGCATTACCTTTTGTATTTGCTTTAGTGAGTCGTGTGGTTGGGTGATATCAGCATCACACATAAGGCCTCATTGCAAAGAGAAATACCAGTTTCCCTTCAGCGTGCAGTTCTGTTGCAATGATGCTGTGTGCAGTGAGGATACACAAGGGCTGAACAGAGGTTAATGCCTGTGACATCATGTCTATAGAAGCACCATCATTAAAACGATAAATAATACAAGCAGCATGCTAGATGAGACCTCTAGCAATATGCAACCCAGTCAGCCACCTCAAGGATCTGGCAGTTTATTTTATTTTTAAAAATTATTTTTTTAATTTTTAGTTTATTTTTTTCTCAAAATTCACCTTTAGCTCTCATGTTGAACAACAATCAGTGACAACTCTACTACCTTCTTTCAAAAGGATTCTTCTGCAACAACAGGAGGGAGCTTCCCTACCTGGACCCCCATACCACAATGTATATACCTACAACTGGACTAGAGCCAACTAGCAGCAGTATTTCACTAAATGTAAAATGTGACTTTTCAGTACCATTCGGAAAGGTCTTTAGGTTCTTGTTAACGTACCTCTTTGCCCCAGCTATTTCTAAGTCAGAGAAAGCATTATACTAGACCTTTTTACACTGTTAGGAAGTATGTATTTGCATGAAGAAGTGGAACAGGGAAAATTGCGGTTTTAACAACATGGCTAACCTGGATACCATATTGACAAATTGTGCAAAATCTCTCTGAAGCAGCTGTATGTCTGACTCTAGTTCTACCCCTTAACAGTTGTATAAAGATACATTCAGTTGTACGTAAACACTGATTTATGCATTTGCAAAGTAAATGTAAAATCCTTCTTTATCCACAAGGGTTGCTTTGTTGGATTTGACCTGGCTCATGCTGTTGGCAACACAGAATTGTATTTACATGACTGGGGAGTAGACTTTGCCTGCTGGTGTTCCTATAAGGTGAGAGCATCTTTAGCCTTCCAAAGTATTTGCAGCTATTATTTTCAGTAGTTGTGGACTGTTGGTTACATGATGTAAAAGGCATTTCATTATTTATTTTATCTAGCCTATCTTAGCTGTGTTACAGTTTATATCAGATAACCCATATGAAGTAATACAGACGGATTAGTAGAACTTACGTAAGATGATTGACATGAATTGCGTTTGGTACCAAATTAAAAATGGCTTTTAAGGAACATTCCCAAAAGATTCTGGAATGCCTGCTAGTTTCTAGCAAAATGAGTTCCAGTAATGTAGAGAAGCCACTGAAGAAACTACTTTGCATATGTTTATCCAGCATTACAAGAAGCTGTGCGATGTAATAGATGACACCAGTTCAAGGAATATCTGTCTTACAGGTTCATATACAAGTTATGCTTGAGTCAATCTGCAGTTTACATGAATAAAGAGGTTTCTTTGCTCTTATGTGCATGATAACAAGAAGAAGATACTCAAATGCCATCTTCTATTTTATAGTACCTGAATTCAGGAGCCGGAGGTCTAGCTGGTGCTTACATTCATGAAAAACACTTCCAGACCGCAAAACCAGTGTAAGTATTTTTCTCATTCCTCTATATTAAGTTCCATCCCAAATTTGAAAAGTGTTGATGGATACAATTCCAGGATTCAAAGTTGGGCAAACAATTCTACAAATCGTTACAAATGCTTGGAAATGTACACATAGAGTGCAATCCTATTCACACATACTTGGTAGTAAGTGCCATTAAGATTCAGAAATAACTTCTGAACAGACATACCAGATTGTACTGCGACAGTGTTTACTCAGAAGGAAGCCTGATAATAGTGAGAATTATTTTCAAGCATAGACACAATTACTAGGGAGTTTACTTGTGAGTAAATATGCATAGGATTATGCTATAAGCCAGCAAGGGTTATTTGTTTCAAGTTACTGTGCATTAAGACATCATGTTTTTGCATAGTACTATTAGTAGAAAGCTAAATTGCTGTGACATTTATCAATTAATACCATTCTATGTATTACAAGGTGTCATAATTTCACAGGCAGTGGACTGTATTCTTTTTCAGAAAATCATTCTGAAGATATCGAACAGGCATTATCATTATTGCCTTCATATCCAACTTTTTTCTGCCTTGTAACACAAGGCAATTTACATAGTCCCATTCCATGGAATCGTCAGAACACTGTGAGGTAGGTTGGCCTGAGAGTGAATGGCTGGTCCAAAGTCACCCAGTGCCATGAAGAGCCATCACTCCATATTGACTCTCAAACATAAACGATATTGCACACTGCATTTTAATTGCTGTTTCAAAATTATGCACCCTTTTGAAACAGGAATGTACATAAGTCTTCATACAGTCTTACCCAGACTGAGGCTCACATTTTTAGTTTCACACTGGAATGAAGAAGACTCTCATGATAGCTGGCCAGAGTAAAATGTGGACAATAGGAGGTTCTTCATGTCTGTGGACAGGAACTTTTCTAACTGCCTAATTGTATCATCAAGAGGGCAATTTCCTCCTATATAAGCTGTGGTTTATATAGTCTGTGCACAATGCTTGTTTTCCATCTGCCCACCTACCTGTGTCGGTTCCCTTGAGTGCTCTCTGTTGCGTTAGCTAGTCCTACTTTGTTAAAGCTGTATAACACTGTTCACACCAAAGAAATGACACAGTTGCATTTTAAGCTTGGTGTGATGTTCCTGTAAGTAAGTGTTAGTAGCACAGTATCCCAACTTAATGTAACGGATATAGGGTAGATTTGCTGGGGGGAATATACTCTTCTTGCTGCTCCTAGGTGCTAAGTTTCTCTGACAGTGGGAAAAAGAAAAACTAGACATTACAGCATGGAAAAAGCATGCAAAATATTTCCTTTCGCTGCATGTGTGTTTTATGGTCATTCTGAACTGCCTCTTTGTGATTACCCTATGAGGAATGCAGCTGAGGAAGTTTAGCATAGAAAGAACTCAAGTAAAGGGAGACATGAGAGAGGTTTTCAAATTATGTATGATGTGGAGGAAGTAGAGAAGGAAACATTTTTCTCCCTCTCCCGTAATGGTAAAATTTAGGGTCATTCCATGGAGGTGGAACAGGACAGATAAAAGAAAGTACTTCTATACTGTGCATAGTTAAAACTATGGAATTCAATGCCAGGAAAAGTAGCAATGGCTGCCAATTTGAACAGCTTTAAAAGAGGATTGGACAAATTCATGGAGGAGAAGGCTTTCAGTGGCTCCTAGCGGTAATGGCTGTATACTACCTCTAGTATTAGAGTCAGTGTATGATCAGCCTACTTATAGTGGTTACTGGGAGCTTGGACAGGAGGAAACTGTTGACCTTATAACCTTCTTGGGGAATCATGTGGGTAACTGGCCTGTGAACAAAATGTTGGATTACAACAGACCATCAGTCTGATCCAGCATGACTTTTCTTATGTTCTTACCCAGGTACAAGAGATAGAATCCTCCCTTTTACAATCAGTTGCAGGTCTTTGCTTAACTTAAAGGTCAGGCTACCTGGATGCCGGCACTGCGATATAGATGCCCTGGCTGAAGTAATCTCAAGACTATGCACTTCTGTTTAGTAAGCCTATTGAATAGTAAACTGCCCAGGTGCCTAAACAGTTATAGAGTTTATCTCAGAACTGGGGATTGGCCATTATTGGACAGTCAGCAGAGGAAAACCAAACCAAATCAATTCTTTTGGCACCTCCACCCAGCCAAGGGCAGGCAGCAAAATATATTGTAAATCTTTGTTTCTTGGTTCAGGTGCTAAGAGCATCTCTTCCAGGAAACAGAGAACTTGATGCAAGCAACAGATGGGATTGCATGAAGGATTGTCTGTGGTAGACAGCTGATTGTTGGGTTCTCCAAAATGAGAAACCTTACAGAGACATCAGGGCACTTCGCTATGGAAACTGTGGGTCTTCAACGAATCAGATAGGCAGCTTGTAAAGGACTGTGCTAGCTAGACTGTATGTTCTATTTAATTTGTCATTGGCCTCTTTAAACAGCTTACTGCTTTGTGTTCTGAACACTTTTTCCCAATGTGTTCTTGTTCCTAAATCCCTAATAAATCTATTACCCCATTTTCACCAAAACCAAGGCAGTGTACTATGGGGATGAAAAGGAAGCCCTCAGGAAAGGCCATGCCATGCTATTTGCCACACTGACTTCCTCCACAAAAGCTATGATGATGCAGAAAGGCATTTCACACATAGGCCTGTGTTATTCTTTTGAGAATCTGCTTTCTATTATAGACTTTTTCGAAATTATACTTTTGAACAGCATCATTAGATTCCTCTGGTTGGTGAATAAAATCAAAGTGAAATCTATGGCTAATAGCACTTTAATGGTGGCATGTTTTTATTAAATTATATCCAGATATAAAGCTAGGAGGCGTTAGGCAAAGTTATGTGTTATCAAAGCCTTTATAATCTATAAAAATGAAGTGTTCTTTGATGGCATGATGCATAAAAATACTTTTCAGTCCAGTTATTGCATACTGTAAGTATAGTAGCATAATTATATATTTAAAAATATCTTAATACATGTAAATATTTCTTTCCAGTGGTAATCTTTTAAGAGGCATTTTGATGCGAGCTAGAGCTTTAAATCAGGTTTCAGAGAAAATAGCTATTATGGAATGAGCACTGTTGCGTTAGATACAAGGCCTTGTCTGTCTAGACAGATAATAATATTATACACAACAGTCTAGACACAATAATTCTGATTAATTCTTGGAATCATCTTGGCCATTGCAATTCAGAACTGATTATGGGACTTAAAAGCAATTTAGAAGCTGATTCTCACACACTCTGACTTGCTTGACATAAATGTCAGGAAGGCTGACACTCCTTTAAACTCTTTTCTTTGCTTTCCATTGACTTGTCTACCTCAACTCTCTTACATTTCATGAATCTACTTTACTTTGTCTCTGAGCTTATACAAAGAATGATCTACTGCACTATGTAATTACAGTTACAGTTATGTACTGCAATTATATTTCTGCAAATATTCAGAAATGCTATTTTCCTTTAGTTTTCATGGTTGAGATTAATGAAATAGAAATAGTCTGAGGTTGTAAAGGTTAGTGTTTCTTTTAGGCAATCAACATGTCCAATTATATTCTTTTAATTATATAAATTGTTGCAGCCTCTAGTATTCTGTGTGTGTGAAATTTAGAGGTGCATATTTAAAATATTCAGATACAATTTGAGATTTCTTTTGGAGAAGGAAGGCAGCAGAAGGGTCCAAGGTCTACCATGTAGAAATTGGTTGTGTACCCTGTAAAAAAAAAAGCAGTAGCATTCAGGGAGAATTTACCATAATAATCCTCTTTGAAATTGGATATCAAATGCTGCCTATTAGAAATTCTAGCTGCTGGTGATGATGTCCCAGCAATATTGTAGGGTCCCAGTGGTGTGCGTTAAAAATGTAGCTCAGGTCACCAGTTGGAGGAACTGTATTGGGCAGAGATAGGTCAGTTATTTTCTTCAGTGTGTATGTGAAGCAGAGCTCAGTGTTACAAAAAGCAAACAATCATATGGGTGAAGATTCTGTATACTCCCTACATCATGCTATTGACTTGTCATAGGCACCATTGGGATGATCCATTTACAGATGAGTTCTTCTTTCCCTGATCCCACAAAAGAAACAAGCATTTGTGAAGCCTTGGGAACTTGCACATCCCTCCTTTAGACCACTAAAATAGCCTTTATATTTTATATGATACAACCTTCGTATAGCCATAAGGAAGGCTAAATAAGCCACAGTCATTCCATACTTCCTTTATTCACTCTTTCTTCTGAATTCTGTTGGTTGGCAGCAGAAACCACTAAAGATTTTTTCTCTTCATCCTGCAATTTCATGCAAGCCCCTCATTCTACTCCAGAGGGTTGAACAGTTTTGAAAGGTACAGGGCACTCCAGAGGGAAACCATCAATGCAGCTTCCTGCTGCAGGAGCAAAAGTCTATTTAAACAACACTGGATTTAAGTCTGTTCAGACCTGAGCAATATTACACAGGAAGAATTGTTTGGAAGCCTTGGGAACAACATTGGAGGTGAAAGTAGAGACTGCAGGGAAAGAATTGGCAGAAATGTCCAGTCCCTTCTTGCAACAGGAAGCATCTGCCTGAGGTAGACTGATTGAACTTGATCTATTCATGGTGATTTTTCATTTATTGTCTCTCTGATCTGTGACATTTCTATGTGGACATTTAAAGAAAAATACTTCTAAAAATGCACTGCTTAAGCATTATACATTTTAGTCAAGTCTTATGAGGTGGTAGAAGGGCTGCTCGCTCTCTCTCTCTCTCTCTCTCTTTCACAAGTTCAAGCCTTTTAGAGGAGCTAGATAGTGTGGCACATATGACATGGAATGAAAATGCTTCTAAATATGTCCAATGAGGGGGCCAGCCATTACATACTGCTTTTTCCTGGATAATTATACTGAGAAAAGGTATCATGCATGAACTAATGTGGGTAGTCACCTGTCCTTCCCTTCCTCCTTGTAGCCTTTGCTGTATCCATGAATACAATAAGCTCTTCTACTCACAGTGGGCACATATGG